CTGCTGAAAACCTTCTTAATGGCTGAGGGCACCAATTTACCTGGAGGGCAGAGAAGAGTAGGGTAACTGATGACAGGCAACCTTTCCTTCCTGCCTGTGGCAAAAGCTAACAGCTCGTGGCAGTCATGAAAAGGCTTGGGGATGAGAGGGTTGCCTTTTGCTGTATCATAACACTTGTGGCTGAATGCACGCAAGGCCTTTACCTGCACTTTGACCTTTGCAGCTTTGCTTCCCCGCGAGCTAAGGACCCTCCTTGAGGAGGCAAAGGAAATGAAGTGGCCTTTTGTGCCGGAGAAGTGGCAGTACAAACACGACGTGGGCCCAGAAGACAAAACAAACCTGCAAGATATGATCAGCGCGAGGCTCCCTGAGTTACTGGTATGGACTTCACCCCCACCTTGTTCTGTAAAACCCGCACGGCTGAGGTGCTTCAGTGGGCACAAAGCCCTAGCCGGCAGTATGGGGATTATTTCAGAAACTTCTTTCTTTGCTGCACTTTTGCCTTAGCAGCGACGTGCTGCTTGGCAAGCTGAGGTGAGCATGCCCCTGTTGCGAAGGAAGCGGCTGCTCACAGGGGCCTAAGGGCCAAAGCGAGAGATGGGGCTTTCGTTTGTTGCAGCACTCAGGCAAAGGCAGGTCAAACTGCACGTGAAGGGAGAGAGGGAGCTAGAACTAAAGCTGTTAGGAAGCAGTGTGTGTCAATCCCACTTCAGCATATTCAGAGGGAATAGGAGGCGGCAAAGTGCAGTTCCCAGCCACTACCTGATGCTAAGAGTGTAAAATTAGTCAGAGCTTTGCCTCGCTATTGAGTTTGTGTGGTGCCTTGGCCGCGTAGCTCTTAGTGTGTGGACAGCACCACACGAGACGGGGCAGCTGGCACTTGGCACTGGGGGCTGACTCGTACCTGCAGTTTCATGTGCTCTTCTAGGCCAAAGAACATAAAATGGATCGAGGGTGTGAAGTGTTCTCTGGCTGCAGGCATTTGACTGCCACCATGCTGAGAAAAAAGGGCTTAGATAACAATGAACTGTGCATGAATACATTGCATCTTCAATGCTCTGAGCACCTTATGGGTCCAAAACTTTGCTCACCAAGATGTGCAGGGGTGGCTTTTTTTTTGTTCTCTGCCAACAGGAGGTTGGGTGGCGCTCTGTCACTTTGCCTGGGTCCACAGTGCAGTGTTGTTTCTGGTGACAGAAATGAATGGTTACCTCTTTCTGGAAATCTGATGTTGAAATAAAACTAAAATGAGAAAGGCTTACATAAAGCTTTAGAAAACAAGATTTTTGAACAGAATTGTGCATTTTTTTAAATTTAAGACTGCTATGGGGAAGTGAGGATTATTTGGTTTGGTAGGGTTTGCATAATGGAACACCTGCTTTTTCAAGAAAACTACTTGAAGGATTCCCTTTGGGGACCTAACCTGGCCAAAGGCAGGAGAGCTAAGAATTTACTTATGCAACTTCTCATGTGGGTAAAGAAGGCTTGTCTGAGTAAGGAGTTGCAGGATCCAAATTGTCTTGAGGGAACCCACCATGAAAGTTGAGGAGTTTAAGCTTAGAAAGCAGGAATAAGTCTTGGATTGCTTTTTGTTTTTCTAATTTTCTCAGGTGTCAGACATGACATAGCAGATAGAGTCCCTTTTCAATGGTGAATGTGATACCTAGCCTAATGAGCGTCCCTTGAGCAGGACAGACATACACTGAAGAGGAAGTGTTTGATTTTATTTTTTTTTTTTTTTTTTTGCACTTAGTGGTGCGCGTCTCAAGCCAAAGCAATCACGTTGCTTGTGGGAAGGGACAATCTGGCCTGAAAAGCAAGGGGCCTGGGTGGAAGCTGGCCCCACAGAAATCAGGCTCCACAACTGCCATTAACTACAAGGAGGGGGCATGAGATTTTGCTTGTTTCAGTGAGAACCCTGCCGAAGTTAGTTGTTTGTTTGTTTGAGGACACAGCAGCAATGAAAAGTCCCGCAGAAAAGCTAATGACGAGGTTGTAATTTCCAAGAAGCAGATATTTCATTGCCAGCGTGGAAGCTGGCCCCACAGAAATCAGGCTCCACAACTGCCATTAACTACAAGGAGGGGGCATGAGATTTTGCTTGTTTCAGTGAGAACCCTGCCGAAGTTAGTTGTTTGTTTGTTTGAGGACACAGCAGCAATGAAAAGTCCCGCAGAAAAGCTAATGACGAGGTTGTAATTTCCAAGAAGCAGATATTTCATTGCCAGCATCATACGTTCCTGGAATTCTCAATTCAGTGGTTGGGGGTAGGGGAGGACAGGACTCTTCCTGGGTATTTATTTTCTTCTTCTCTTTGGTGTGTGTGGCCTTAGACAGAAATTTATGGCAGTGGTTGACCTCCTTTACAATCCCTGCGCAGCACTCTAACTTTGGAGCATTTGTCTGCTCTCTCCCAGGATAAGCACCTGCAGTAAACTCCCTGAGAGACCTGGATAGATGGGAGATTAATGTGGCTGTAATAGTGGAGCAGTGTTTCCAGCATTATGCCCTCTCCCCAGGTAGATGGATCTTTTCTGAGATGATACCAATTATTTATTGCTGAAACATCTGTTGATAACTGCAGCTGCCCTTGTTAAACAAAGCATATCATGGGGTCATAGACTATAGGGACCTAAAATCCTACCGCATGCTAGTTTTAGACTATTCACCAACACCCCCTGAAGTCCATTGGTTACCGTTGTCTTCAATGTTTCATCATGCGGGTGAAAATACTTTGTAAACATTGTGCTGCCTTTCCCCATGTGCTTTGAAGTATTATTTCATCTTCATTGGTAATTTATATTCCAGAGCTATTGTACCATGGGAAAAAAGGGAAAACCTTTTTTTTGTTTTCCATTTAAGTGTAGATAGACTGACATTTTGACCTGTATTATTAGTATTAGTCAGGAAAAGGGATTTTTTTCCCCTTCATCCATTCCCCCCTCCTTTTTTTTAATAAAATTTCAAGGCAGAGCAAAGACTGCTTCAGTGCTTTGAATAAAAAGCTGGGGGGGAGAAATGAGGCTGAAGAGAAGTGATTACAGTGTGATGAGGAAAGATAAAAGTCTGAACAACTTTTTTCTTCTTCTTTTTTGTTTTGGTTTGAGGGGCAGAGGGATAATTTAATTCCCTAAAGCAAAAATAAGCCTTTGTTGACTTATTGTTCAGAAAAACCTTTAAAATTTTTCATCTGTTTATTTTAATTTGCCATGCTTAGAATAAGCTCATAAACCGTAATTCATTACATTTCAGAAGTGCTTTGAGATCCATGAATGAAAGGCACTTCATTACCATAACACACTGGTGCTGTTATGAGGGGCCAGATCTGGCTACCAGTGCTCATGATGAGGATGTTTTACTCAGTGAGTAGCCTGAAAAGCTCCATGAGACCAGCGCAGGGAGTAAGCGGATTAGGCTTTGGCTTCAAGGGTTTGCCTTAGTGTTGCACTTTAAAAAGTGGGATGCCCATTGCTGGCGGCTGTATGCTAGTTTGATACATCAGGAAGGCAAAGCCACCTGCATCTGCATCCTTTTAAAGTGCTCCTCTTTGCCATGGGATCATTACTTCTGCATGCTGACTACAGCGCTAGGAAGGCATGGTGAAAACAGGCTGAGGAGAAGTGAAGGAGCAAAGGGAAGGGACAGTGAAACCAGAGTTTCCTCGACACTCTTGATGCAGCCTGAGTTCAGTGAGAGTCATGCTACCTCATTAGAGAGGAGCTCAGTGGAGAGTGTGGCAATATAAGCACAGTTTTGTCTCCCTTTTCTCTCTGATACAAGAAATTACCAGAGCTCTTAGGGATTTGAAGGCAACAGATTTGTAGTAATACTTAGTGCAAACCAGCACTTAGGGTTTTATGAGATCTTTGCATCTTGTACAAAACTTTTTTTTTTTTCTCTTGCTGCTCATTTGGGTAGCTCCTTCCCTGGCATATCTCCCATTCGGTGTGGATTTGTGCTGAGGTCCAAAGGACGATAACCGGTATTTGTTACCAAAGCAAAAACTTGGAAACACTAGGATTTTATTTGTTGGTTTGTTTTACCAACAAGTCAAAGCAAAATCAGAATTGTCATAGGACCATGCTGACAAATGTCAGTGCAGAGGGATTGCTTTTTCTGTCTTAAAACCTGCATGTTCCTCAGAGTTAGGACTTCTAATGGAGCCTCCCAAACTGCAAGGGATGGTTCCCCTTTCTGCAGATCTCTGGAATGGGATGTGATAGAAGTGTCTTTCTGCTCAGTAACCAGCCAACAGAGGGCAACATGCCCATGTCCACATCAGCTTTGGTCTGGCAAACCTTCTTTTGGGGTCTCACTGACAGACTTCTGTTTGTGTGCTTCTCATGTGGGATTATTCATTCAAGGTTCTGGGTTCTTCTGCAAGATCAGGCCCATGCTCAAACCCACCCTAATGCTGTAGGATTTCACTTTACTATTATCTTAGGTACCAGTAGCCACTGTGGCTGGTATTCAGCCACAGACCAGGCAGTGCTGGGGCAGGAACAGTGCAAGCACAAAAGCCAAGTGACACCTTTGACGTTTTCATCATCTAAGGCCTTGCCCATGCAGAGACACCGAGGAAAACAATTATCACTTCATGGTTAAGTGGACTAGTTAAAGGACCTGAGATCTGTGGGCGACAGTGGCCTCTGCGCTGAAGGTGTCTCAGTGTGGGGGCGCCGGGCGGGCGGGCTCTCTTGTGCGCCTCAGAGGCACCCTCACAACACGCCTTGTGGAGCCGCCTCAACGGCCACGGCAGGAGCCGCGCAGGCTCTTCTGGCCCTGTTTGTGCAGAATTTCACTGAAGTTAATGGGAATGCTGAAGGGAAGAGAAAATCAGCCCAAGCCAGGGCTGCGGGGACTTTGGCTAATTACGTGCTGATGGATTGTCATTAGGGAAATCCCTCTGAGGGAAATGCCCTAACTAGCCTTAGGTGTGTGTGGCACTTGAGAGCTGGGAGCCTTTGAAAAGGAAATGAAGAAGGGGTAGAGGATTTAATTTTCTCTGCTGTGTACCTGTTGGTGTGGTAACAGGACAATTGAAGCCCTAGATCTTAGCCCTGGGATCTTGGTTGTTTGGGATGACCTTTTGCTACCTGCTTCATAAGCGCTCTTCTTGGGTGATCCCAGTGAAGTGAGGAGTGAGGTAACTGAGAGCTGCGGGCCGAATTCGGCACAAGGGGGAATTCACAGCCTCTCTTGCACTGGGTTGATGCCTGACACATCAGGGCTTTAAATGAGAAATACAAGAGATCAGGTCCTGTGTGTTCAGGGGGAAGAGCAGGTACCTGCTTGGCAAGTCGTGGTGGGCAGTGCTGTGGGCACTGTGCCCAGGGGAAGCTGCACATTATTTGCCCCCCTAGACTGAAGGGCAGCTT